GATATTTCCTACTTAAATTTTATTTTAGACTTCTTAATTCGGATAAGATTTTATGAATGCACCGAAGAGTTGTCATTGAGATCAGCTGATATAGACTTTAAAATTTATTTCAATGGAACTTTTCTTTGACATGATATATATAAAATATCTTATGATCAAGAGTTGAATATTTACTACAGAAACATCATTATAGATAAATTCGTATTAAAAATCATCCAACGCGTGTTTCGAACACATCATCCATCATTAAGAGGTAAGACAGTTCGTATGGAAATAGGGCCGACAATTTTGAAATTTGGACTTTGGGTTTACTGAGCAAAAATAAGCACTCTTAAGAAGAAGAAACGTTGCAAAGAAGAGTATAAATGAGATACACGTTCATGCCATAATTAGTAGTCTGTATATACGAAACAATATATTACTTATATTGTCTTGAAACTCTTTGATGTCACCGCTATATGTCAGTTTATGGTTAAATGTATGACAAATGTAATATAATATAAAGGGCGATAAGCGAGTGTATGTCATATTAACTATGATAAATAGAAATATATAAAATCTTGCATAAATTATATTATTAATTTATTATCAACTTTATTTTATTGTCTGTTGTTAAAGAAGTGTTAAAATTTCTTAAAACTAAAGTTTAAGCTTTAGCTCTCAATTATTTTGGAAAAATTTGAATTAGACTCTGTCAATAACAAAAGTAAGTTATTCATAACAAAGGTTATTTATTCATAACAAGGGTTATGAATTCATAACAAAAGAAATAAGTTCATAACAAAAATAATATATTCATAACAAAAGTAATTTATTCACAACAATAGTAATATATTCACAACAAGGGATTTGTTCATAACAAAATTTATAAAACATTAATTATTTAAAACTATAAACATAACATGAATATAAGTTATAGCAAAAAATATTTCATAACAAAGTTACAGCAAAAGCTCCACACGAAAGACAAATTATTGAAAACTTGCACTGATGTGTCGGTTTAAACAGACTTGCATTTTCATTGCATAGAATTCTGTTTACACAATTGGTAACTGATACGACAGAAGAAAACAATATCTAAAATTTCAATACAATTCAGATGGTCAATTGTTATTTATATTAGAAAAAAGAAAATAAAAAGGGTGTAGAGTTGTTGATGGTATCTGTCAGTAACCAGATCACTATATTTCACATGTTTTATAGTGCATTAACCGTCTCTTATCATCCACCATTTCACGCTTTTCTACTTGCCCACACTAATATTAGTTTTATTACCTGCGAACATAGGGACTATAACTTTAACATCAAACACAAGTTGAGATTGTTAACAAGTTTACCAGCTGTGAACGCACTAGATCAGTTTTCGGCCTTGATTTATCAAATAAAAACAGTAATAGACATACATTCTAATGACTGACAGGGGATCTTTTAATGATATTCTCGATTGTTTATTCTACTTCCAATTTTGATTGATTTAAAGTATTTGTCAAACTGTTTAAATTTATGTAAGGAAATTTCAGTCTTTGTTCATCAGATTGGCCTTGCTTTTGTAATTGTCTCTAATAAAACATAGAAAATTATTTAAAAGGAGTGATTGCCATGACATTATCTCTGAAAACTTGTTCCTTTCTATTACTTTTGTATATGATATTTAAGAAAAGTATATTTTCTTTTGACCAAAGACAACTCCAGCTACAACTGCTAGCATCTGGACATGTGTCACAGGTTGGCGTATAGAAATAGTGAACTGATTATGAAAGATCTATATTTATTGCATAATGTTCTCTACAGCAAATTATGACCAGTGATATTTTTCTTCTTCGTCCTAATTGGATAAGAACATGACGACAGACAAACAAATATTATATGTAAATCCTTTGAAATCCTTTATACGATAAAATAAATGATAGTAATTCAATATTTTATGACGATTTCTTACAATTCAAGTTAAGACATAAAATTCCCTTTGTTGAAACATTCTTTAAATACCAACGACTGTTTGAAGGCTTTCCTGTACGCTTCATAACAGTTAAATATATTAAATTGGAATACATATAGTTTTATACACCTTGGAAGATGGACGAATAACAAATCGTTGGTTCGTTGTTGATTGTTGAAAATGGATTTTTCATCATGAATTTCTGTTTTCATTTTCAAATTTTACTGAATGTAAATTGAATGCCGATATTCAGAATTATATCAATATATCAAATGCACTATTAATTCATAAATCAGAAATTTAAAATCAAAATCCTCTTGAATTAAAATCAGTCGTAGTGTGATAGGTGTTTAGGGATAAACTGTTGACAACTATTAAAACCAAACCATATCAAATTCTATTTAAAGCAGACGGACAGACGCTGGTCTTTATGAAATTAAAGAATTATTTTCGCTTTAAACATCACCAAGTATGAAACGAACTTTTCGTCAGTTTCATTGTTCGATTGAAATTTGGCGTGACACGTGACAATTACTGTCAGAATCAACTAAACGATTTTCTTCTATTAGCAACGTGAAGAAATACTGGAAAACTCTTTACCAAACACTCCTACTTATTACGTGGAGCGCGAAATGTCAACGCACGTGTCATTTCCCGCCCCTTGGTAGCAGAGCTAAGTTTCCGAGGCAGCCATTTTGAATATGGACAACGATGTATGCCATAATGTAAAAACGTATAGTTGTTGTGTGGAAATCTTGAATATAGTTTTGATGTCGTCTTCTCAAGACGTGTGGTATCATTGTTTACAAGTGTAATTGTATCGGGATTGAATTAAGCGAACAAACTAGTTTCCCTCGGGGGTGGTTTGAAAGATGTTTTAAACGGCCCACCTGGTGGCATATTGGTTGAAACTTTATATTAAATATTGAAATAATGAACGTTTTGAACAATCAAACCTACACTTAAAATATCACTGTACCTCTAACAATTCTTAATAAAGACATCTAATTAGGAAAAAGACTTTGCAAAATCCAAACGCTGAAATTGTATCAACAATTTCATTATTTAAAAAAACTAAATTCTTTAAAATCTAGTGTTTTCTTCCCTTAACATTTCTAACAAATTATTTGTCAAAATACATTTATTTTACATGCATAAACAGGTTGCTCAAAATTCGTAAACAAAACATTTAAAATTCAACATTATATCCTTTATGTTTACGAAAGAAATAAATTTATTAGAGAGACGTTGAGTTTAATTTGAATATGATGTAAATATACTAGCAACAATTATTATTAGACACGACTGATAGGCCTATTAAATGTACTTTCCTTTTTTAGCGAAGATGAGATATTAAGCAGTAATATTATATTAGTTTAAATAGCATTTAAATTCTACATTTACTGGTACAATATACTGACAATTTTTTTCATAAAATTAATTTTAAAAACGTCATTTATTAGACGTTGTAGTATTGTAAGACAAGTACATCATTTGTATTTTTTAGTTAATGTAAATAAAATCGGTCCTCAAAAAATTCTTTAGGAGCAATTTCTGGTAATTTTAGGCTTTATGGATTAGTCAAAGTATAAGGGAATTTCTGTGAAGCCTTTGATGGGTTAAAATGATGGGTTCAATTACAGTTGATTCTCCTTAAAATCCAAACTTTTAATTATTAACCGCTAATAGATACGCACTCAAGGGGTTAATGAAAGCAGCACCATGTAAAGGGTTAAGTGAATAATTATATTTAATAATACTGATGTTATTGAAAAATCGATTGAAAGTTTTGTATTTCAATGAATTTTATCCTGGTTATCGATTGACTTTGTGTTCCCTTGACGGCAGCGTGAATCGATTTTTTGTACTTTAGCAGATCAATTTGTGTCAGCAATAGTGCCGGGTCAAAGAGGTAGGGGTTCAAAACAATTTCCCAATGTACCCATATTTCGATATATACATGTCATGCAAGTCTCCCCAAACCAACGCTTCGACCCAAACATAACGTTATCGTTTGAATACAATTATTGACTGCAATTGGGAATAATCACAGAGATTTATTTTGCAAATTGATATAAATTAAAGAAAAATGAACAATAAAATAAAATTTCAATGTAGGTTCAAGAGGTTTAGGCGAAAAAGTGTGTAAAATAAATTAATTCTAAATTTTTTCTTTTATAGGATTAAATTTGAATAAAATTATTAAAAATGTGACATGGAATTTGTCGTAGAAAAACTATAAAAAGTGTGTTTTATGTTAATGTAAAGAGCGATAACAAGCTAGCTTTTTAAGAATATTTAATAATGAATATTTTGTGAATTTATTACCGGTGTACTTTTTCGAAATTTTAGAAAAAATATATTTAAGATGAATAAATAAATATATGAACATAAGCTACGTAGGCTAAGCGTTTTTGATCAACAAACGATCTCTATCAATTCTTAGTTGTAGCTTGTATGGCGCGGACCGCGGAGTAAGCACATTACAGAAAATAATGAAGTTGGCTAACGTCATATAATATAAAAAGTTTTCTCGACCTATTATTAACATAATGATATATTTAATTGGTATATTATAATAACTAAATTGTACACTTCTAACACTCGCCGCGAGCATAGGCGGTTGTCTTTAATCTTTGACAGTTTGTAACAGGCGTTTTTATCCAAGGCGTATGTCCAACATGACAGGGGTGTCTAGAAAATAGGTAGCCGCCATATTGGATTCTCGATCATGATAAATGACGAGAATAAAGTATGATCATGATAAAACCTCATCACCTGTCTTGTTTTTATGAAAGGAATATGAATTATTAAAATCTAGGATAAAATATGCCTTGCTTTCTGTCGTATGTCGATAATGTGCGACGTGTCAGTCAAAAACTCAAGAAACTTTCGTGCACTATATACGAGCACTGCTGTCACATGTTATGCTTCCAAAATACGTGTACACGGATTATATATTGAGCTAGCTTGCACTCTTATATATAGCTATTCCAAAACAAGATTTTTTTTAAAAAAAAATTGCATCTTATTAATTATTCCAAAATCTTCTATTTTTCAGATGCCAAAAGACGAGAGCAGTCTGCACTGTTTGGTAAAAATCAACCACCGAAAAAACGACGCAAATCCAGAACAGCTTTTACAAATCAACAAATTTATGAACTCGAAAAGCGTTTTCTTTATCAGAAATATTTAACTCCAGCGGATCGTGATGAAATCGCTCAAAGTCTTGGACTAACAAACGCGCAAGTGATAACGTGGTTTCAAAACAGACGTGCAAAACTGAAACGTGATTTAGAAGAATTGAAAAATGACGTTACAGCTACAAAATCTATTGATCCAACGTTACCTTTGGCTGTTGATATTTCAAAAGTGACAGAAACTCTTATTATAGGAAATCATAACTCGAGTCGCAGTCATTCTCCAACATCCAGTATTGCTTGCTCGGAAAGAAGCCCGACAAAAGATAACGGAAATATGTCAGATGACGACGACGAAGATATTGAAGTCAGTGATGAACACAATTCGTGAAGAGACACTTTATTTTACCATGGAATCAAGTGTTTAGAATTTACTTAGTCAAGCCCTCAATCGCAAGCCCGTTGCAAGCCGGGCGATTTCCTCCATTTGGAAACAAGACATCAAATTCAGCCATCATTAAAATGTCGTGCTCCTCTTAGATGAAGACGCTGTAACATAATGCAAACCAGTGCTCAGTGCGATGTGTATGGAGAGTTCCATTGTAAGAACATAACTCGAAGGAATCATGTTTTATTGAACTGTATTCAAAGCAGTCTCATAACAATCTCCTATAATGTTGATTATGAAATATTTGCCAAATGTATTATAATGTTATTATAATTGTCCTTCTGTTATTTAATTAATACTCATTTAACCTAAATACGGTTATTATAGTATTTATAAAATAGAAACATCATTAATAAATACATTCAATCATAATGAATATTTTTTTACTAAGCTTCCTTCGTGATCCATCTTACCAAATTCTGATTCATTGTCAAGACCATGGACACACGATACATATCACCTTATTGAGTCCGGCTACCCCCTTATCTAATACAGAAGAAGATAAAGCCATGTTGTGTGCAATGGAGTCTGTATTGAGCAATAATTTGAGATACGCTGTGGTATAAAGTTTAGTAGCAGGATGGAATTTGTCCATTTACTCCCAACAATTAATAAATGACTAAATAATACATGCATTGCGTAGGTATTCCAACTTATTCGTTTGCAATTTACTAATCTTAAAATGTGGCTACATATTACCAATATCGGAGTTTGGAGCCACCTCAGTTGCAAAGACTAAAGCCATATATATTACTATCTAACGTAAGTGAATTGAGATTATCAAAATGAAAACAGATCTACCCATCCTAATACAATCCTATCTCCGTCACTTCAATATCTTCTCACGATAACCGCAGTCATTGGGTAAACTAATCCGCTATATAAATGCATGGTTAGTTAATAAATGGTAAATCTATTAAATCTAGTTGAGATAATTTAATTATGTATGTTTTGTGCAATAGGAGTATTGTTGTTTAAATTATGACAGTAAAGCAGGCAAAACGGTCTGCTGTTTCAATTACTTTGACAGTTGAGTCGTCTCCCCTTACAAGATGATTTACAGAGGTAAATTTACGCAATGACCCAAGCAGTTCTACCAAATACTTTAACTGGTAACTCCATTATAATATCAGGTGATAGAAAAATAACTCTATATTCAGATCAGGTTTTTAAAAATATGTTTATTGTTGAAATGTTGATATGCTGATCTTCAAAAAAGAATTGGAGTTGGGGGTCTAGTAATGGATGAATTATAATTGCATATTCATGCAACTTTCTTGTATTCAAATCAGCTTATCAAAGGAATTCAATTGGGGTTATGTTTCTTTGCATATTCATGCAGCTTTCTGTCATCAAAGTAGATTAGAAAATGATTCAAATGGTTTAAGTTTCGTTACATATTCATGTAGCTGTTCCAGTTTTTAATAATAGCAAATGAGTCGACAATTTTCTTTTGCTTATTCATGGGGCTAATCATCTCGTAAAATAAAGGGATTGGGCTTCGTTATTTTGAATATTCATCAGGCTTTTCCAGTACTTTAATGGTTAACAATTGGGCCTTACATGCCTTTCGTGACTTTACGGTTTTTCTACTTAAAGATCTTGGCAGTACACTCGATTGACAATAGATCAGATCGTACAGAAATAAAATGTTGTTGGATTAAGTTGATTTGCATATTCATAAGGCTTTTCCTGAAATTAAAATGGACCTTGAATGAGATGCCATGTCTTTGCAACATCAAGAATTTACGGATTGTATTGAAACAAAATTTAATTTTTGGAAGTATACTCGATTTACGATAGAACAGAACGTTCAGAAAAATAAAAATTGTTGTGTTAAAGATCTACTCAATAGTCCTTTAAATAGATGTTTCCTGCAATATCAATAGCATTAATCGAATCTTAAAAGTCTGTGTTTTTCTTTGACAGACGTGCTCTATAAATCACACAGACCGTTATTTGTCAATTAGACTGGGGTATAATGAGTAGAATCATTAGACGGTAATGAGATATCATTATATATCTTAAAGATGCTTTCTTAATTCATGTTGTATTTTAACCCTTACCGACAGACTTTCTTTCACAAACACAATCAAGCCTTTTGAAAAACACATCGCAGGGGTCACAGTTCAGACATAAATCACATGATATGACGTCACAAACGTTTAACCAGTTAAAACAGTCGTTACAGACATAGAGCTCTTAGTAATTCAGCAAGCGATGCGAAGCTAATAAGTGGTATAATGGTTTCAAATTATACTAAGATTTTATTATCTGGAAAGGTAGAATAGGAAAGCCACCAACGGCTGTGATTAAGTAAGCATACCCTATAATTTACTGCTGTCTCTTTATTTAACGCGCTTCTATTGAAGTGTGTGTTAAATGACGTACACTATTACATCTTCAAGCCTTTGTTGTCATGATGTGTTAAATGAAATAATTCATTTGGGATAATTAATTAATTTTCATGACATGTATTTGTAGGCCTATACTTCATGCTCTTACAAAACTTCTAGACTTTACAGAACAGGTGCTAAAGACACAGCAATTTCCCAATGTAAGACCCTTTTATGGATCGTTAAATTAATATACCTTAAAAGTTTCAATAAATGTTTTAATACGAGTTACCTCCCGTAAAAAGTTAAAAACTAGAAGGGACATAAGGTTCTATTAGCTAGTAAATTTTTTATAAAACAAAACGCTTTATAGCGTAAAAGGGGAAAATGATCGAGACTTTAAAAATAGTTTGAGAAAATTAAGGCGATGAGACGACCGTAACCGTTCCTGGATTTGTGATGATGTAATCGGATAACCTCTGAAATCGTCTAGCTGAGTAAATGTGCTTATAATTGGCGAAGTTTAAGGTAAAATGAAGCTATAATTAAAGGGCTTCTGTATGGATTCGATACGGCCATATATTAATAGTAGAGCAGCTGGATTTAATACAAGACACCTTAAACCTTTCTTAAAGAAAAGAGGGATTTAGGGGTGATAAGCCTATTTAGAAAATTGTAGAATTAAAAAGCAGTAGGGAGAATCACAAAATAATTAGTAAATACTTTTCCCTTGAAAATTGTTCAAAAAGATTCGATAGTCGTTTCTTTCTTCCGTTTTATAGTTGACCAAAGCAAATTCATACAAAGGCTAAATTTTCAAATCTTCCTCGAACGAACCAATAACCAACCAACAGCAAGCTCCAGACAACTCAAATCGTAATTGTAAATATAATGTAAAAGAGAAGTTCACAAGTGGAAACCTTGTCTCACCCCATATTCAAAATTAGAAATTACATTCTATGCACTTTTACAGTTAGTGTAAAAATTCAACCACTATCTTAGACTTAGTTGAGAAAATCATATCATTAATACCTAAATGTAAAAAAGAAGGTCAATTGGAAACCTTGTCTCATCCCATTTTCAAAACTAGGAATTACATATCTATATCTAACTTTTAACAATTAATTGAAGTCAAACGTTCTACAGATTAACAATTTTTAAACAAAGCACATTTTCTGCCAATTCACACGTTTAATGTTGGTTCATCTGAAATTTCTTAACATCTGATGATGGTGGACAAAAGGAATTACCTATGACTCGATATGAGCCAAGACACGATTAAATTTAAGAACAGTTATGTCTATGAAAGTGAAAGTGGTGGAACCTTTATTCAGTCTTTAGTGATTTCTAGGATTAATTCAAAGTTAAACCTAAAGTTTCATTCTTGATGTCTTGAGTTTATTAGGGAACATTGATATGGTGTGGATATGGGTGAAATTAACATAATTCTGTCATGAAGAAATAATTCACACGTGTAGACGGCTATATCTATACAGGCATATCTTTCAAAAGCTAAAACAATCATGGATTTTTCAAAACTTTAATCATCATAACTGTATACAAACACAAGGTTTAAATCAACTCAATATGTGCATATTTCACAATGATAATTAACGGATAAAAAAGCGGTAAAATACTGAGAAATTTATAAATAAAACGCGGCATGTTATCATGTTAAAATGTCTATTAGGGTAGATGGGAGAGGAGATTAGACAAAAATAACTGCTGAAATATAGTCATTTAGGATAAAATTGATATATCTCCTTCTTATCTCATTCAAACATTTCATCATATTTTTAAATTTCATAATTTTCTTCTTCTCTTCATTTTAAACCTAATTATTGACTCTTTGATCATGGAAAAAATTAGTGACGTCACAGGTCGTTAACGGTAGATATTGGGGTCAAAGTGCGATCTCCCGTGCATGGCATGCTGGTATAGTGACAGGAAGTGGAGATAGTATCTGTTTGAAGTTTGATATTTTCCTACTTATTTAGTGGTATGAATTATGATTATGATAGAGTAAAATGAAACAAGCGTTTATTATCAGCTATTTTAAAGAATGTTGATGGTTAAAGTACGTATAATCTAAAAGAGTTGACTTCCAGCTAGTTAGCTTGTAATCAAGTTTATTTTAGATAAAATGTGTGATGACTGACGATGTTCTGGCGTATTTCTTCTTTTGAAAGAAAACAGTCTCTAACAGATATTCAATTTCTTCAAGACATTTATTCAGTTTGGTATGTCAATAAATTATTTCAAAAGAAAATCGATGTAGCGACCAGCGCAGAACATATACGTCAAATCAATTTCACTGGACGTCGACGTATATGATTTTATTGGAACATTAACATGTTCATTTGTGCCATTTCTTCCAGTAGGTCCATTTTTGATGCACCTTTACTTTAAAAGATAGCATATAAAAATATACAGGCCCATAACTGATTTAAGGAAATTGCACAGCAGTGAACATTTCAAAACTCAATCAATCTGTCCAAGCAAGACGCATCCTGAGATATACGATTACATATCAAGCCTAACAGAGGGAACGACAGTTTTCAGTGCCTGAAGTAAATAATAAGAAAA